CAGGAGCCGGAGGAGGAGCCGACGAAATGGGTGCCGGTCCCTGTGGACCGCGTCCCTTCGCACGGACTCTCCTCTTTACCTGTTCCTTTCCCAAAGGAAAGCTTCCGGCGGCTCCTGGTTTTCCTGAGCTGTCTTCAGGCTTGCCCTTGCTAATCATATCCTCTGGTGACCCGATCTCTGAACGACCAGGCTCACGAAGACTAGCGCGTACCGAAGTTCTAGACTCGATACCACCAGGCAAAATGTTGAAGACTGTCCTACCCTTCCAAGATTCAGTACTCGGCGAGGTCGGACGCTCAGAGGAACGCCAGTCATCTTCTTGAGTGACCTTCTTTCCCTTGGAGAACTCCATGATCGTCTTGCGCTTGTTGTCCAGGTACTCCAGTGGAATAGGCACTTGTCCTTCCTTGGGTTCGTACTTCGCCTTCCTCACTCTCTTGTGGATGATCTCCATGTCGGCCTCATTGATCACCCATCCCTAAGCTTCCGAGAAGCTTCGTTTTGCAGCTGCCAACTCCAAAACGGAGCTTCTGTGTTTTAGAAGCTCGTTTAGGAAGCTCCGTTTTGAAGCTGGCAGCTCTGTGGCAGCTTCGTTTGGAGCTGCTAGGAAGGAGCTGCAAGCTCCATTTTGAAGCTGTTGATTCTAGCCCAAAACCGAGCTTCTAGGACTTTGAGGTGCGCAAACATGTCACCGCACTGGCTCTGCTGCACATGTCCTCGTCTGTGTATGTATGTATGTATGTATGTATGTATGTATGTATAGAGGGACACACACATGCACAGGCATACGCTCTACACATGTATATATCCAACAGCGCACAAACAGCAAAGTAGGTACCGGGGGTGCATATATACAAAAAAAAATTATAGAAATCTATTCTAGCCAGTCACCTCTGAGCAACTATATATATATATATAGTTTGCTTAGAAATGACTTGCTAGAATAATCTAACCTGCATCAAGGCAGCCTCCAGGACATGGAAAAGGACTGCCCCCTATTTCAGTTGTTTTTGGCACCGATAACGCTGACAAAGCAATTCCGCCACGCACCCACGGCCCCAGTCCTCCTTGTCTTTGGATGCCCAGCAAGCAGCACAGACAACGAGGATGGCCATTCAGCGTTTTTGGCTTCGAAGAACGCCGATCCTGCTTGCCTTTTTGTATACCCAGCAGCACAGACGCGGTGGGATTGCTATTTCAGCATTTGGGCCCTGAAAACGATGATTCCACGCGCGCCCGCCTCGTTTTTCTGGCCCTCAAAATACGATGATTCCCGGCAGACCCGCCGCGGCTCCAGTTCTTCCTGTCTGTGTATGCGGAGCAACACACACGGGGAATTGCCACTTCAGCGTTTTATGGCCCCGAAAACGCTGAAACGGCAGTCCGCTCCCAGTCCTCATTGCAGACGCCGGGGAATCGCCATTTCAGCGGCAAGGATCGGGGGCATTGTCATTTCAGTGTTTTTGGTCTTGAAAACGCTGAAATGGCTATTTCTCAACGTTTCGGCTCTGCTGGCCGCAAGAAACACAAGGAGGACTGTGTGCGGAGGAATTGCCATTTCAGCATTTTTTCGGGCCAAACACCATCTGTGCTGCTGGGCATATACAAAGACAAGGAGGGCCGGGGGCGGGGATGTGTGGGGGCATTGCGCGGGAGAATTGCCAAGTGAGCGTTCTCAGTACCAAACTGCAATTACCCCCGACGATGTTGATCCTGAAAACGCTGAAGTGGTACTTCTCGCCATGGAACACTGAAATGGCAATTCTCCCCAAGGTCTCCTTGTTTTTGCACATGGCGGGAAAACATCGCCTGTTTCTTGTTGTTTTCTTCTTGCGGGTGGGAGGGGGTTGGCGGGGTGATGATGTTCTGTGTTTCAAGATGCACTATGAGGCTCTTACTATGATGCTTTCTGGTGGGAAGTGGTAGATAGAAAGTAGAACTGACGAACATACGGAAAGTACCACGCATGTCACATGAAACAGGGGTTAACACAGGTTTGGGAATCTATAGAAGCAACCCGCCACGTGACATGACACGATCTGAAATGGTAGACAAGAGGTGGCATGACATGACAGGATAGGATATGATATGATATATCATGACATGAAAGTACATGTGATGATGTCGTTTGGCATGCCACGCGACGGGTTGACTCAGTATGCGCAATCCTATGTTAAACCCCGTTTCGTGTGACAGACGTGGTGCAAAGAATCCCCCTATGCCATGTCAATGTCCAAGTGTGCGTTTGTCTTTGTCTCCGTGGTGTCTCCACCAATTCAAGCCAAGCCAAGCCGTGCCCAGGACCAAACCAAGCCGAGCCAATGCCGAGCGGCATCTAAGAACAAGCAAAAATCTTCTGCCAATGGCGTGGTGAACCGCTTGTTTTCTGAAAAGTCTCAATGTCATTCAATTCGGGCTGGCTGGCAGCAGGTGGAATAGCAACCAGAGCACGGACATCCCGACGAATGACTTGCCCATGTCACCTGAGAGCACTGAGGTGCCTGTGGCAGAGTTGCCCTCTTTTCGATTCCGAAGGTACGCCGGCTGGCCCACTGCAGGACCGTCGGATGACAAGCTCTTGCTCAAGATGCGGACAGCGAAGTACAGTGGTGCGGGACCCTGTGAGCAGCGATGCTGTTTTTTGCCGAGTGCACAAGCTAGGCCACGTGGATTGGGTGTCTTGGACACGGGAAGCAGCTAAGCTGCCTCTGAACGTGTCTAGGCGACCCTCTGCCCAGGCGCAACATGGCGTGTTCTTGAATGCCTGGACATGACACCGTTCTATGTCGAAGCAGGTGCCAACATCATCATGGTGCAAGAACTACGGTCGTGTTCTCGAGCCATGTGTGTGCCTACAAGCTGTGCAGCCTGGGAGTCCAAGGTTATATTGGAACAGATGGCCAAATCCACTGGCCCTCTCCGCAACAAAATATGCATGCGGTGGTGCAGATGGCCTGGGGCAAGGTACCATCGCAAAACGTGCAAACAGAGCATTTTGCCTTGATCGCTTAGAGCCCTCGTGTACAGGAGCCAGCAAAGCTCGCAGGCGAAAGCGGGGAAAATGGCTTACAACGCTTCGGATGCGCATCTGAACCTTGGCAAGAGCTCGGAGTCGGAGCCTGGCCAGAGCGGCACGAGCCGCGAGCGTTTGGGCCCAAAACGACGACGGAGAAGCTGAAAGAGGGAGAAGATCTCTGGGCTTTGCTACGCTGCGCGTACCTGTCTGGAGCGGGGAGCTGCGGGACTGCATTAGTAATGTTCCGAACAGCAGTCTCTGAACTGGTGCCTCAGGTTTGAGAGACGTGAGTGGGCCAGAAGCTCCCGAACCTGAAGCACCGCAAGCACCCGATCCCGACCTTGAGCTGGATCGGGCTGCTCGAACAGTTCGGGAGAGGTTGCAGAGGTGGGCCTTTTAAGCGCAGGACAGGAATGCACTCAGAGCACAAACTGAAATATGACCTGAAGGCTGCTGCAGAAAACGGCCGAGGCATCGAAGGCCCTCAGCCACCAGCCGACTCCCTGCTGCGGCCCAATTGCGGACACCCAAACAAAACCGGGCGCAGAATTCCCGCAACATCCTAAGGCTCCTGAGGCTGCTGCCAGTCTGCTGCCAGGCTGCCGAATGCAGACGAATTCGCGGCAAATGCACCTCCTCTGGCTCTGCGCGCTCAGACGACCGCGGAACAAAAGCAGTGCCCTCACATAGGAGAAAGTCAGGTTGGCCCCGACGGCACACGGAGGGCATGTCGTTGCATACTCGACATGTCTGATCTTCTCTCCGGCATTCTAAGGTGAGGGGCCAGCTGCCGTGCGAATGCATTCCAACGAATCCTATGTTAGAATGTTGATACCTCCATGTGTTTTTCTGTGCGCAGCATCTCGCAGCTTATAGGCGCAGCCTGCGCAGCCTTTCAGATCCCCTCCATCCTTCGATCCTCTTGATCTGGAACTGGGAGGAGCCGCGGATGCGCTGAGAGCAGCGTTTAACATTGCCCCCTCGAAGGAGATGGCTGACGTGCTGCCAGAAGGCTGGGGCGCCTATCAGGACGATCAAGGCGGGCTGCGATCGTTTCGCTCCTTCGGTCTGGGTTGCTTCGCTGCTTCGGCCAGTAGCGACGACTGATGGTGATGATTAAATATACGGAGGGCGACGCACCCTGCAGACCCACCTGTTTTTGTTCCTTCGCTTCAGACATCCCGTTACATCCCATGAATAGCTAACTATACTTGTTAGAATGAGGGTGTCGGAGGAGCAATTTCAGCGTTTTCAGGGCCAAAGCCGGTCAAACTACTCCCCTGCCTCTGTGCTGGGGCATACAGAGCCAAGAGGAAATGGGGGTTTTGGGTGGGGCGCGGGGCCAAATTCAGCGTTTTCAGGGTCGAAACAAATTGCTGCCAGTACTCCCTCGCGTTTGAGACAAGGGGGATTGAAGGGAGGAGTGGAGCTGCAAGTTGGTACCCACAGGGATAAGTGTTGAGCTGCATGCTGCCGCAGCCTGGCTTATGTTACTATGTCAGCCCCCATACTGTTTACCGGCCCGAAGCTTTGTTGGAATAGGGGAGAAGCTTTTGCTCAAGTGCATGCCATCCTTGCAGGTCCTCTCCCGGGCACATGTTTCTTTTTTCCGTGTGTTGCTCTGAGGCCGAAGCGCACTTGCCTTGAGCACGCTTCCAGGTTTAGGTGCCGATCCCAAGTCAAGTAACAGGATTAATTGTAAACATGTACTTGTGTGTGAGCCATGCCGGGCCATGAGATGACCGTAAACATGGACTAAACAGCGGACACGAGTGAACAAGCTCTGTGCCGCATGACGGCACAGGCTAAGAAAGTCACATGCGCCAGCTAGACATACTGACACTCTGCACACTTGTTTACAGAGTTGATGGACGCACATTTCCTATCGGACACAAGAGGCCGTGTGATCATGGTGATCCATGATCTCGCTGTCAGGGTGAAGATCAGAGAAATGCAGTCTTTGGTGGGTTTCGGGCTCTACATGGACCCAACATGGGCCCATGGTTTGTAAAGATGGACATGCTAAGCAAGTGACAGATATTTCGCAGACACGCGACAACCCTTGCAAACCCTCGAGTCACCAGGGCGCACGTATTACGCGAACGTCTCGCCCGAAGCCCGGAAAGACAGAACGGATCTTGCGTAGAAGCCCAGCTGGTTTTTTTTTTGAGGACCGGGGAGACCAGCTGGGAGCCTCCTGCACCAGCTGTGGCTCTTCCCGAAGGTTGGACGGCACACCAGGTGCGTTCGCTGAATTGCTGTGCATCGCGAAGCGGCGGCAACGACCGCATCGGCAGGATGAGCAGGGCCGGACATTTTATGCAAATTGTACCACAGGGGAGTCCAGCCCATGGCCAAGCTTACCCGTCTAAAATTCACGTGAGATGGAAATGGAGAGACTGGGCCACTGCAGGTTGGGACCCGCCCGCGCCAGCACCAGCCGCACCAGGCGGGGCGCCAGGCCGTCAAACAGTTCAGAAAGGAGAAAAGTTTCGGACATCCAAACCTTTCGCAGCCCCTCCGGCGCCTGTGCCCACCCCTGCACCTGCCGGGCGCTGGTCGGTGGACTTCACGTAACTTGCCAGCAGTGTCAGCTTCTCGAGAATCCACGAGTCGGCGTCTCTGCAGGTATACCATCGGCCCTGAGGGTTCAGAGCACGTTTTCTCTGGCAAGGTGCAGCTGCTAGACAGATCTGTGCACCAGCCTCAGACCTGCGGCAGCCTCTGCGGCTAGGGGCCGCAGGGGGCAGGCTCGTCTCGGCTCGTCTCGGCTCTCGGATCAGGTACACATCGGTGGGGTCCGTCGTGGAGACTCTGAATCGTGGTTCACCTGCGGGCTTCCGAGACGGAAGTCTCTCAAGCTCGGTCGCGCACATGATTTGGAGTGCTTCCTGAAGGCCGTGCCAGAAGGCTACTGCGTGGTGTTCTCCAACTCCAAACGAAGTGGGCTGCCTCAGCTTTTGCCTGGAGAGTTCCTAGATTCGTGCTGCGACATCCCTTGCCAAGATTACTTCCTGCTGTGGCGGGAAGACAAAGAAGCTGAAGCATTCGCATTGACTTCGGCTTAGACGGTGACATCGTTTGTCCTACTCATCCCCATCGTGAGACTGGTTGAGGCTTGGCATCGGCACGGACAGCGGGGATCAGCCTTTGTCCCAGTGAGCGGCAGTGCGGGGCCGCGGGGCTACAGCTTCAGCCAGAGTGGCGAGGTGGTCAACATCCCAGGTGTTGAGGTTGGACCCTTCTTGGACAGAGGACAGATGTGGAGGAAAGTAATGCCCGGACCTAGTTGGGCTGCAGGAGTTTTTCGCCGGGCGCTGCGACGTTGTCGACAAGGCACAGTGTATTCGCACGTCTTTACATAACGGGTTTCCAAGTCAAAGTGCAGAGAAAGCGCAAATTAAGCAGAGGCGCGCTACGACTCCGTGACTGCCGCTGTCGACGTGCCGAGCTCAGTGTGCATGGCCTCGGCTTGCTCTTGCTCTGTTTGCAGAGGCGTTGAACGCGGGCATTGTGATCGAAGGGCAGCAGGGCTATTGTGCGGTCTGGTCTGCCGGAGCCTCAAGTGCCAGGCTGCAATCTCAGCAGGTTCATGCATTGCCTGTGCTGCCAGACTTCGCAGCAGTGCTTCCATCTGGTGTGGCGCCAGGCCTTCGAAATTGAAACCTGATAAGCCCACTGGGCCGGGAGTAAACTGATACGACATGCAGTCGTTCCCTTCAGCATCTGTTGTGCGCTGACAAGATTCCACGTCGTCATATGAGAGCAATCCATAGTAACGCTCCTTTCGAGTCATGCGGTGCTTCGCCGGTGCAGGACAAGGAGCAAGAGGCCTACGCTGCACTGGGAGTTCGCTGACTTTAAACAGCAAGATGGCAAATGCAAAGCAAGACTCTTGCTGCCTTCAAGTCTCAGAATCGTCCGGAAGAGAGGCAGCTATAGTGACTAGTGTATCAGCATCACCGACACTTCGTGACGATTCTCGCGCATTGACGTGGGCCAATGACAAAAAATACTAAGAAGTGTGTTTTCTCTGCAGAGCAGAGCAGCTCTCACCTTCAGAAGTCCTCTGTGCCCCCAATCACTGTGAACGACTGAGAACCTTTGGAGTCAGACTAACAAAGACGAAGCGAAGATGATTGAAAGGCAGAGAGGTCGCAGGGCACAGGCGAAGGGCAGCCTGGGGCCCATGTGAGCATGCGCTCCCGTCTGTCCGTGTGCTTCCCTGCTGTGATGTGTGACATATTTGTGGCCTTGGTCTACCTGTGACCCGAGCAGTGCATAGGCGTGAAAAGAGTCCTCCCCAACAATCAAGAGCCCGGCGGTTACACTCCAGTCAGCTCCTGTTTGGTGTTTCAGAGGTTGCCTTTGTGCACTTTTTCGGCCGTCATGCGCGTAGCCAGTGAGTGCTCGAATCTTCCCTCGGGGCCCCATGGCAGGACCAGTTGTTAGAGCTTTGTTGCAGAGGATGTTTGGCTTCTCAGCGTTTAAATCAGGAGTTTTCAGAGGTTCCTCTCCACCACGCTGCTTGGAGAGGATCATTCGGTAGGGCCAGCACGAGCATTCTGTCTTCCGTGCCAGGAGATAAACATGCACGGCTTACAAACCTCTACTGACATGGGATTCGATCCATTTGATCCCTGAGAGGAAATGGATGTTGAATTTGCTGATGGGACCAGAAAGTCATGATACCACAATCGGATTGACCTTCCGCCCCTAGCATAATGTTCTTCTTCCTCATCCTCGTGAGGCGTCCTCGTTAGGCCTCATCACCGCCATCATCGGTATTTGCCTGAAGTGGTACCATCACGATGAACGGACCAAGTTCGGCACTTGCAGAGCGGACTGATCCGGCCACAACCATGCAGGTTAGGTTGCGACCGATTCTCTCTTAAATCATGGGGGAACCCTGATAAGAAACTGCCACGCGGCCGTGCAGTGCATGCTTGCCGCTTTTCTTTGATATGCTCGGGCTCTCAAGAAAGCGGAACACAATTTCCGAAGTTCGCGACAAGGCTAGCGGCTAGAGTGTTCCCACCCCATAAAGACCAAGCAGCCGAAGTGACGAGCTCCAGGTTTGGGGCCCACGGGGCCCACCGTCTCGCCGCCAGGGATGACTGGCGGCAGTGTGGTTGAGGGAGCACCAAATGACCCGCATACAATCGAGGGCTTTACGGACATTAACCTTTGGGGACTGCCGGGGTAGGGCCCGGGCCCTAAACCACTGAGCCTTGGCGGCCTTGTGCGAGCATGAGAGTCGAAACCCTGTGACCTCGCTCGGCCTGTCCCAGTTGTGAATGCTGAACCTCTGGAAAGCAAGAGCATGAGCGAGAGAGAGAGAGAGAGAGAGAGAGAGAGAGAGAGCGAGAGCTTAAGCCTGGGAGAAGAAAACGTCTGGGAGAGGTTGATACTTGAAGTGTTGGGACGGTGAGTGTCGCGAGTTGGTGGAGTCGTGAATCGAGGTCTTCTCCGCACAGCATGGGTGCTGGGCTTGTTCTCGGCCTACCTGCATGCCAGAAATTATGGACAAGGACAATCGCCAACCAATGGGGTAAAGTTGAAATGGCAAAGTGAACGAAGCAGGATTTACCGGCTGGTCAACAAGCCTTCGACCTTCACCCGTGGAAAGCGTGTGGATCCACAGTTTGAGGCTGTCGCGCACGAGGGGCCGCGCAAATGTGGAGCATCCGAGGTTTCCCGCCACGTCTCCACAAGGCCCTCCTTAGTCGCCTTAGTCCTTTAGGTCCTTGGGCCCCTTGGGCCCCTTGGGCCTTCTTTTCATTGCGCAGTCGGCATGCTGTTGCTCAGGGAAGGACCACGGCCAGAGCCTGACGAAGTGCGCACCGAAAGGCTTCTGAAGGAGATCACCAACAACACACCTGGCTTGGCCTGCTGACTGCATATGGCAGTATTGTATGTAGACCATCTCATCAGGTGTATTGATTGACCGGCGTTCGAGCATGTTCTGAAGTGGAGCAGCAAGCTCAGGAGCAAGCCGAAGAATAGAACACGTTTACTGTCCTAGCACCAAGAAAGCCTTGCCTGAATTGCCGAATCGTCTGCTACAAAAACCAATGTAGGTAGCACAGAGCTCACATTTAGGACTCGCTCTTGCAATCATGAGGGCTTTGGATGCTGTGATAATCCTTTAAACTCTGGCAGAGACAGACACACAGACAGACCGACAGACAGAGAAGAGCGGAGTTCTAGCACACACTCACTCTTGTAATGTAGGATTCCGGATGCTGTGAGACCCCTTCGAAGTCAGAGCGAAGCGAGAGAGAGAGAGAGAGAGAATTTTGGCTCAAGCCACTAGTGGTTCAACAGCCGTGGGATTCTCCGCCCGCTTCTTCTTCTTCGCTCTTCCTCTTCCTTCTATCCTTGCTTTGAGTCACGACGGTGTCTCCAAACCCGGGGGGGCCTATGCGAATGCTCCACCCGTAGTGTCAATGGAAAAGGCTTCAGCCTTTAACGAAGCCTCAGTCTTTTTTGGACTTGGGTACTCCGCTTCACTTTCAGGTACTGCAAATATAATGATGCTCGCAATCATACTTTCTGGAAATTCCCCATACATGCCCTGGAGATCATCAATATCCACCTAGTCCTCCAAAATCTTCCGCTCGTTCTCGTTGAATCTCCAAGTCGTACGAATACGATGCCGTGCGAACTTTCTCGCAGGAGTGCGGAAGGTCTTGGGGACGTGAGCAACTTTAACATCTGGATTCCCACCAATGACAGTTCAACCGCATCTTTACAGCCGAACCTCTAGATGTCCGGCTGCTCCCGACTTTGAATTAACCGAAGTCGGTGCAGCCTTGCTGCGATCCTTGTCCGCAGATGTCGCTGCCGGGCATGCAGTCAGCGGTCCTCAGTCGCCAAACACTGGCACGTTGCCTCGGAGTTGGCATTGCACATCACATACGGCCATTCGGGCATATGAAATATGGCGCTTCGCTCTTTGGCCAATGAAATGAGGAGTGGCGATGACTGGGAGCGGGACTGCACATTTGCAGTGATCGCAAAAGCCGCCCCTCCCCGAACACGCATACTTGCACCTGACCGTGACTGAATGCCGTTCACTGCTGACTCGAGACGAAGTGCAGATTCCAAGCCGTCGTTCACGTCGTTGGGGTCAGGCTTCGGAGTTCTCTGTGTTGGAAAACTCGTACATGCAGAGTCTTAAAGCTCCAACCGTCGTCGCGGGCTTCGGGCTTCTTCACGAAGGTAAACACCCATTCTCTTGGGTGTTAGGAATAACTTGGTTGCATCCAGCTGCAGCAATTGGAAAGCTCTCCTACCACCCCTACAACGCCAACATGACGCCATGCCCACTCGAGGGGACGTTCTAAACATCCGGACCTTGCAGCATCGGATCACGAGCCAGGCCACCTGCCTCTACCTGCAAGTAGAACGACCCCGCCAGCAGCGCAAAACACCCGGTAGCATCCCCGACGCATGAGGCGCACCGACCCGAAGGAATGTTGCTTTTTCAAGCCGCGCCGCATGCATACTTCCACGAGGAGACCCTGCCCGACGACTTCTCAGAATTTCGTGCTATTCAGCCGAAACACCATGCCTGGAAGTTTCATCGAATCGACCTCAAGACGATTCGACGAGAAACACTTCAAGCACCGGACGGGCCGGACGCAGCCAGTGAACGCCCACCCCCCGTTGGACTTGGCCCCGCCCTCTGCGGCGCTCCGGAGTAGGAGTTTCGCAAGGAGCTTGAGCATGGCGGAGTGATGGGGAAGGTGTCTCGACCGGCATCACAATGCATTGCTCCTACATGGAGCATGTCATCCAGCTCGCGAGGGATGATTCCCCGCTAGGTGTCATGTTGCATCAGGCATTGGATAGCTTCGTGTGATATGCCATCTGGGCCTGTGCCTTTGTGTTTGGCCATTTGCGGATTACTTGTATAACTGCGTCTGCTGGAAATGTCTCCACGGGATGCGCTTGCACAAGCGACGGAGAGTCCCCCGCATGGTTTCCACACCAGTGGTTGTGCGTCTAACATGCAAGCAAGAGCAAGCAAGGGGACCGAGGGAGAGGGAGAGGGAGAGTGAGAGAGGATGCACGATGCTTCAAAGCCAATTGGTAACAATCATTTGTCCACGATGCTTTGCCTTTGCTCCCGATACTTCGTGGTGAAGTTTATGGGTTTTTGCGCGTCAGGGTAAAGAATCACGACCTGTTTTCGGGTCCCATGCCTCAGCCTTCCAAGCGACCGAGTTGGGTATCTCACGATTACAGGGAGGGTCTTAGGGAGGAAAGCTCTGTGCGAATCCACCATGCGGCGATCGCTGCATGTCTGGTGCCCGAATGTGGCGATTCTTGTGTGCGAAACCATGTGAATCGTCCAAGCACCAATCTGCTGCCCCGGCACGCGCCTTGTTCCAGTTCGTGATTTGGGCCTTTCCTTTTCCCGCCCATTCGGGTTCAGGGTTCAGTTCAGTTCAGTTTGTTTGGGAAGCGCAAGGCAAGATCAGCTGCTCCACAAAGCGAAGGCTGGAAACGGGTCGCAAGGTACTTCAAGGACTTGGACCGAAACTGATTCACCAATGTCAGTGATGTCAGGTGGCGGAGCTCGGGACTCGGGACTCTCCAAAGAATTCTGCTATGAGTTGTTGTTCGTGACCATGGCCGCGTTTCTCTCAGATTCGGCTGCTTTGGGCTCCCGAGCCCCACGAGCGTGTGGACTTCGCTCTGTGGTTTGGTCCACTACCCTGCTTCCAGGCCTTCCATCACTTCCATCTTCTCATCTCGCTTGTACTTGAGGGTGTGGCCTGAGAGGTGGGCACCTTCCGCTACTGTTTCTGTCTTTCGCAGACCGTCGTGCTGACGGGGTTCCTCCAGCGCAGGCAACGGTCCATTTTCTCTAGACCAGATTGAGCTTTTTTTCTGAGGCTCCTTCTGGCCTTGGCAGTTGCCATCCTGGGGCCGGAGATTTTGATGTCGCCGCCGCCCAAGTTTTCTGGCGGCCTCATCGGCCCCATTTGCAGCTCTTGCCCTGTCAAGGCCGCGAACCTATGGCTAGCGGTCTCACCCTCGGTGCACGTGAGTGACGGTTGTCACGCTGTGTAAGAGTGGCACTCCGAGCCGCAAGACGAAGTCTTGCGGAGCTCAGACCAGTCTCGGGCACCGCAACAATGCCTCGATGTGCTGGTGGTATGCTGTGCCTTCACCGTTACTGGCAGGTGGTAATTGCTTCGCGCAGCCTTCGGGCTCTTAGAGGTGGGACTAAGGCGCCATGGAGACGGAGCCAGCGGATCCCATAGCAGAGCGATATGAATCCCCAACCGCCATGACTCTTGGCCTCATCGTGTTTTCTTCCAGCTTCCTTGGGCTCTTTGTGGCTGCGGCCTTGGCATCCCATTCCTTCTGGGAGTTTCTGTGCGCAAGTCTGCTTTGGCCAGCAGTGCTTCTCTGGCTGAACTGGTGCGTCCTGGTCCCCGGAAGAGGGCCGAAAGGCAGACGAATGGAGACGGTGCTGGGCTGTTTGGGGCTCTTTTTGGCCCCCGTCTGCGCGTCGCCGGCGACGCGGCGGCCAGGGCCTGGGCGAATCATTGGGATCTCGGAATCCGCAGCGGCGATCCTCTGCTCAGTGCGGGCGCTGCAGCTTTTGCGCCGCGTGGAAGCCGAAGACGAGGCTAAGGCAGCCTGCGAGCAGGAGCATTCTCCTCCTAGGACGCCTGCCTGGGGACGCTGGCGCCGCTTCTATCAAATGGCATGTCTGAGTTGGCACGACATGGACCGCGTGAAGGCACTCGACACTCCCAGGGAGCATCAAAGCCACTACCAGAGCACGCTGAAAGAGCTACTCCTCGCAGCCTTGGGGCTTGCAGTCGCTTAGCTAAGGAAAACAGAGAGAGGCGAGAGGCTGCGGGAGTCGCGATGGGGTTGCGGTGGGAGCAAAGGGTTGAAACTTACCGTCTCCGCCTCACGGCACAAAGCAGAGGTCAGGTAGACGATGGGAGGGACCTTCTGCTGACAGTCTCGGCAGCGCAGGTGCACGCCATGCACGCAACGGGTTGGAGGCAGTAGAGAGAGTCGAGAGTCGCAGTTCCTAATCAGCAGCTGCAGAACCGTTTAACAAGTTGTACTAGTCCAGAACAGGCCCACGATTCCCGAGGCCTGTGCGCTGGCTTTGCACATCCTGCCCAGCTCTGCATTTGCCAGCATTGGCTTAGGCATCGTGAAGCTGTTGATCATTTGCGGATTCGGGGCTGGCAGTGTCGTGTTTGGGTTCTACACCTTCGATCGCGCCTACTTGTTTCTCCTCTCTTACTTCAACAAGTTGAGTGTGCACTCCATTTTCGGACCTGGTTTGTGGCAATCCAGGACCATCAAAGACTTCTGGAGGCAGTGGAATCTGCCTGTGCAAAGGATGCTCTTAAAGGGCGTCTTTGTACCATTGCGAAACATGGGCTACTCAAAGGGATGCTGCGGGTTTTTGGTCTTCCTAGCCTCTGGGCTTGGGCATGCCTGGCCTTTTTGGTGTGTTGGAGCTCCGAGCTGGCAGACGGCAATGATGCTCCTCTTCTTCGTCACTCAAGTCATCCCACTTCAGCTTGAGTCCAAATTGCAGATTCAAGGCCGAGCTTGGGTCTACACCGTTGAAGTGCTCCTGTCACCTCTTTTCGTTTGGCCTTTGCTGCACGCCTTTGCTTAGGCCCAGACCCGATATCTGTTTCACACCCTGGCTGGCGCTGAGGGGCAGCCACCAGTTGCTTAGGCCCAGACCCGATATCTGTTTCACACCCTGGCTGGCGCTGTGAGGGGCAGCCACCAGGTGACCTGCACATGGGAGAGAAGTGACACGAGAGTCAACCGGGTCGCCACCTGTCGCCACCTAGCCAGTCCCTAAGCTTCTGCATGGATTCGCCCCGGCCGGCACAGATCCCGATTGGCCCGGGCCAGCTGGTTAGCACAATCCTCCCTGACATCCTCCAACTAGGACGGCTATGGCTACAGCCAAACGCCTGCACAATGTTCCCATCAGCACACCTACACTGCACCCCCACAACTAAACCACGCCTCACAGATGCACGGCGGCATATTGGGCTCGATGCATACATGAACACGTGCAGCTACACGGGTGGATGGATCGTCTGGGATTGCATGTTTGTAAACTTGTGATTGTCGTGATGCCGCTGTATTTGCGAATATTCTGCATGCAGCCAGGGCCTTGAATGCTATTCAGCCATTTACATCTCTTGGATAATCTTGTGGCTGGACATGTTGAGACTCATGCTGTCGCGTGCTTTGCACTTCAAGCCGCCATGACATCACCACCTGTTGGTGCAGCCAATGCAGCAGATTATGCCACCCTGCGGATGGTTCAGCTGCGGCAGGCCTGTAGGGCAGGCAGAAAGGCAGTGTCGGCAGCTCTCTTGCGAAGATCCGAACCTCGCCAGGCCTGCCGCGATGCCGGACTGCCGGTCTCGGGAAAGAAGGAAGAATTGGCACGGCGATTACAGGTCGTGCAGGAAGGGAGACAAGAGGTGCTGGCGCGCAGGCAGGCCTATCAGGCCTACACCCATCGCAGGGCCGAGAGATCTCGAAGCCCCAAGGGCGCTTGCAGAGCAAGTGGTCGGGCATCGAGAAGCAAGCAGGTGAGAAGCAGAGGCACGTACCTCAGTATCGAAGACTTCCGAAAGCTTTGGTGGGCCGTCAAGGCTCCGCCATGCGAAAGTACCCGGCAAATCACCACTGCAGCTGAACGGACCCCCAAATGATCGTTCGCCATGCTCGATCCTATAAGCAATATCGGACAGCATTTCGTTCCTGCACATCGCCCCCGGTGGCATAAGAGATGTTGAGTTTCCAGTTTCAGGATGGCCGCCTGAGCTGCAGCAGCTGCAGCAGCACGAGTGCTCCATGCTGCCGCGAGGGGCGCTTTGGGCTTTTCGTACTTTGCAGAAGCGGCAGAGGTGGCTGCGGCCAGCGGGAGACGTTAGTTGGCGCCGTGCAGCGGCTGCCAGAAGGCCATGTGCCGGTGCTGACAGTGGAGCTCGAGGACCGGACCGTCCTGGACCGGATCGCTCCGATCGCGCTCGCCATCGCTCGCCCTTCCTTGCACTGAGCGGATTTAGCGTTTCCGAGGACCTCCAGCACGTCCGACTCCATGCAAGCGGTGCAGATGCCTCTTTGCTCCAAAGTCTTGCATCTGAGCTGGGGCCGGAGCCTAAGATGTCGCGCCGACTCGCCGACACCCTGCTGTTGCTCAGTATCAGTGCAGTCCCAGGATGGCCGCCAGTCCTCCGCGGTTGGATTGGTCAGATCCATCGACTCTTTTCTTTGAGACCCTGGACGACCCCGATCCGCCTGCTGGCCGGGTTGGGTATGTGTTTCCGCTGGCCGAGAGCACTGACATCCTGCAGCGCTTCGAAGCTCTGGCCGAGCGAGTTGGCGCAGAGACCCCAACCCTGGATAGAATCAGGAGCCCAGGTAGGAGACACTCACAAGCAATACTAAACCGGGCAAGTTCAGGCATCTCTGAAGTCGATCAAGTTGAGACTAGCAAAGCTTTCATGCTTTTCCGGGCAGAGACCTGGAGCCGCTGTGGCAATGTAAACCATGATGCCGACCGCGGAAGGTTAATGTTGTCCCGCATCTTCTTCGGTTAAAGCCCGCAGTGATCTTCTTAGTTCCGCATGAAAAGCAGGTGTCCTACAACTTAAACTACGAAAGAACGCAGGTATTGAAATGCCGCCTTCCCCTCACGCCACCCTAAAACACGAGCTGTGTTCGAAGCGCGTTTACAACGATGACGGATCCTGGTGCGATGCCATTGACACTCCACTGACAATGCTGGGGAAGTTCAGAGCACGCGCACACACTTGCACCAGATCTCATGATCTGCAATGTCATCGGTGATATGGCTCTTGTTTTTTTTGTCGAGTGATGTACTGCCTGCTGTCATTGTCTAGGCTTACGAATCTCAAGACTCTACAAATGTAAATAGCATCGCAAACCTGCATGTACTGGTTACTTGCAGCAAGATATGCAACCACTCATGCTGCAAGAAACATGACTGCAAGAACATGTCAGCACCAACTGCATGCTTGACATGTCAAAGCTCGAACTGCAAAACGACATGCAAGCTAGCACTTGAGTAATGGCCATCTGCTGGAGCAACTTTCCCCAGATTTACCATCTTCCCCCCGGATGCACCATCTTGTGAAGCGTCCCCGTTGGATGGAGACTTCTGCGATGCACTCCGCCCCGCCTGCATCTTTAGACAGATTGTCCCATTTGGTATTGGCTACTAGCCCTGGCAGTGCTGATTTCCAAGGTGCAGTCCCTTTTTCGGTGTTAACAAGGCCTCAGTGTGCGGTGAACTGTTCGACCTTGGTACGCAAGCTGCTGGATCTCCGTCCACCACAGTGGCCTGGTACGTTCCAAGCTCTGCTTCTGCCCAACACTCGCCAATATGCTCTGAGTGCAAACCCAGCTACGCTGGGAGTTAAAAGAGGGTAAGCTAGCTCAGGACTGACCGGCATACACGAGCAACGAAGAGTTCAAAAGGTGAGTTCAAAGTGTTTCGAGGCCCCAAAAAGAGATTTCGAAAAAGAACAAGTTTCGAAAAAGAACAAGTGATTCAGGGCCTGGCATCACTACAGTCCACTACAATGGTCAACACAGTCCACAGTCATTACTCACTACAAGGGAGTATTTGTGCACGGGATGCACACGTCCTCCCGTCTCAGGTTGAAATCAGTTTCCAGCTGCAAGATCACTTTGAAATAATTTTTGAGAGCTTGAATCATTTTGAAAACACTTGTTGAGGTCGAGAATCACTTTGAGATCACGTTTCGAGGGCTTGAACACTTTCAAATCACTTTCTGAGGCCTTGAATCACTTTGAAATCATTTTTTGAGGCCTTGAGTCACTTCGAAATCATTTTTTGAAGCTTGAATCACGTTGAAATCACTGCTTGAGGAAGTGATTCAAGGCCTCAAAAAGTGATTTCACAGTGATTCAAGCCCTTAGAAAGTGATTTCAATTTGATTCACGGATTCAAACAGTGATTTCAAAGTGATTCAAGACCTGAAAACAGTGATTTCAATGTGATTCGAGATCAAAAAAAAGGGATCCAAAGTTTTGCGACTGCAAAAAATCACGTTTCATCTCTTTTTCATACCTTTCCAAAAGCTATTTCCTCCAAGCCATCCCAACGACTGCCCGGATAGGACCTCCCAAAAATAATAACACGAACTCACTGCGCAACCATGGACACTGGGAGACAGACTTTGCAAGGCATGTTGGTTTATGTCTTTAATCTGGTCCGTCAACCCGAGACAAAGAGAAGCACGGTACACCTCTTGAGTGATTGTGGCCTCCAACGGACCACAATTTTTCCAGCAGTAGACGGTGATTCCTTGTCAGCTTCAGGGGGGGCAACTGCGGAAACTAAAACAACGGTGCGACTCGCTTATGATCGCAAGGAGCATGGTGCACATGTCCATGTAGTAGCTCATCTTCGCATGACAGCATTGGCGTCAGCTGGTGGCGGTGCAAACTCTTGGCGAGCGACAATGCGGCTGTCTCAAGTTTCAAGGGGCAGCACAAGCTCAACTCTCCCATCATCCCCTTTGTCTTGTTTGCAAGGATGGTTTGATGCTAGGGAAGACCATTGCCACCTCCGTTTTGATTTCATTCCTTTCTTGGCCGACAAGCTTGTGCAGCTGACGTGGTTGTTTGCTCCTTTTGGGTGGTACTGCTGTTTTCGTGTTAGCAATAAGAATGCATTGATCGACATCCCAGAATTCAGACATGCAAGATAAATCATGCAAGCACACGCTGGTCTGTGACGCCGAACCCCCCAATCCAACGATGTCATGAATTTGGCCTTGGAGTTTATGGCGACGGGGGGATTTCAGAATGACAACTCGCTTGCATCAGCGATGACACGATCTCCTGGCAGATGCTTTTGTTTGGACCCGGGAGGGTTCCTCCAGAACCCGGCTGCGCATTCTAAGCTGGTCACCACTTGGCAGCCAATCCGGTTGTAACGCCGCATTGCAGGCGCTAAGGCTAAGGCCAATCCTGGGTAAAACAAGCGGAAATGGACGCTTTGCTGAAATCCAGCACGACGTGCTGCCGCAGTGCATCGGGTAGTGGTAAGATTCATAAGAAGGCCCTCAAAAAGATTCGTCAGGACAGTCGTAAAGCAGGTTCCATGAAAGCTGGCGGGAGCAGCTCTGCAAAGGATGTCGCCACGAAAGCTAACTTCATGAAGAGACGGTTTGCAAAGAACGGCTCCTTTCCCTCCCGCAACGTAGCTCAGTCCAAATGGAACGTGGGCAAGTCGTTATGGCGCTCAACCAGGGACGACTGCATTTCGTGAGCAGTTGGTTAGCCACATAGATCGTATTCGTGGTTCCCAACGTTAAATGCTGGGTATGTACCCACCTTTTCTCTTTCGCAGTGCGGTTCCCGTCGTTTGATTGTTGTTGCTTGTGAACTTCTCTATTCTTGCAGTTGGCTCAACCTGAACTGTGCGAAGTAGCCTCTGAAGGGCATTCATCAAACAGTGATTGAAGGCAAAAGTGCCTTCTTCACAGATACCGGTAAAGAGTAAAAAGACAATCGGAATCTGCATGTTACCAGTCGCAGGATTCCTCCAGTGCATTGTCTGACTGCATCTGAGTTTCCGGTCCTGTCAGGCATGCGTTGGCCAACCGGACAACTTTAGCCACACAACGTCAGAATGCCCTGCAGCAGGACAAATCTCGTCACGACGGTGGAGGACTATGGCCTTGATGTTGGAGTACGCATCTAGAGCTAGAGCTATTGAAAGATATCAGCAGCTGTGATTGCGCGTCTTGAGTCATTGAGGCAGATGTTTCCATCCCGATGAAGGATAAAGGTTCATGGTGCTGTCCATCTTTCCATGCCTGCGCTTGTGTTTGTCCTTTCGTGTTGGGTTGCTCCGTCCTTCTCTGGTCACCTTGGTCTTGCTGTTTCTTGGTCCCCTGCTTTGGTTTTGCCTTCCTGGGTTCCCTTCTTGTCTGTTTTGTTTCTCGGCCTTCTTTGTTCTGTCTTTCCGTGGTGCTTTGCCTTTCCGTGGTTGCCGATCCTTTTTCGGGTGTGGTCCTTTTCCCTTTTCTTCACGTTTTCTTGCATCGCTCGCTGTTGTACGTTGCTGAACCTGAACATGCCAGTTACGATGTGCCTTTGAAACTACCTTTGGCAGTGTTTCTTGAGCGCCGAGGCAAAATGACCCCTTCGTTTCGAGCTTTGAATCCCGAGGTTCGTGTCGGAAGAACGAATCGCAATGACAAGCTGTTCCTGTTCTACAGGCAGTTGGCCAGAACGGGCATTTTGTTGATTTGCTTTACCTTGGGACGGAGCACCATGCTCTCGTCCATGCTGTCCGGTATATAAAGGGTCTGACTCTGTTCCGGCAGTTCAAACGAAACTTGGTCCGAGCACCAACTTTCAAATCACGTCTTCAGGGAGAGTGCGCTTGGATGGCAAAATGGATTCGAAGGAAATCCTAGCGTCTATGATGTGCCCGGTTTTTGCCTTGTTCAATGACATCCAGATGTCTTGTCAAGTGAATGCCAGAGGAGCAATTGGGCAGAACAACGAGGCTACAACGCAAAGGTATGGTCCGCATGTTTGGCTTGCGTGCGTGGTTGATGGCGTGGGTCAGTCTGGCATCTGGGACAAGGTACACTCTGTTCTAGGAGCTCGAGGTGCCATGCACTGCATTCCATTGACAGTTTTCACTAGACAAAGAGTTTCCATCTCGATATGGCTTTCGGGAAAAGTCTACACCACCTCTGTCTGTGCCCGATTGGGAGATGATTGATTGCGGTCAAGAACTGAGGGTAACTTATGGCTTTGAAGGAGAGACTGCGAGGCAACAAGCTGGCAAGCTTTCTGGCTAAGCAGAGCTTCGCGATATGAGTTGCCATGCAAGAGCTGAGCCGCTTGCCATCTCAATCAGTTGCCTTCCGCCCCTGTTCATCATTAATCCAAGTAATGCTGCAGTTGTGAATGATGCGCTCGCCGAGTTTCGTTCGTGTCTTCTGACAAATCTTGCTTCTCTGAAGGCTTCTTCACATATGTTGTGGGAGTACGCTCGTGTGCAAGCTGAGCTCTAAGACTCAAGAGCCTGTTGTGGCGATGTGATCTGTCCTTTCCAGGTTTGATGCTGCCATTGGCCAGCCATTGCAGGTTGCCTTGCTGAATCTAGTGCAGAGTTGGCTTTCCTTGCAGTGGAAGTCCCTGATGTTCTGCAAGGCCGAGCTCGTAGACGCAAGCTCAGCAAAAAGCAAAGTGGTTTCAGAGTGGCAGCACCGTTGAGTGACCCCAAGTTAAGGCGAAACAATGCCATCAGAAGGTCCGACAGTTCTGGTCCTGTTGTTGGCTTCATGCTGATTTTCGGCTTGTCCGTGGGTTGTCACTGGTCACGAAACCGTTCACTATAATGCTGTGAGCTTGTTCATTTCCCTGTACGTTGCGCAGCTATTTTGTGGTTGTCACACATTTCCTCTTCCACCCGTCGCTTTGGGTAGATGTTGGGGGTGTGGAGATTTGGTCACGTCTGTATCTACTTACGTCCTCGAGTGTGGACCTGCAAACGTGCAAAGCGCTGGTGGCCATGAATTGCAGAACTTTCCGTCCAGCTCCTCTGTGGCACTGCACTGCATCATCTTGGAATGACAGTTTCTTTTGTGGTCCTAAAGCCAAACCTGTGCCTTGGTTACGTGGTCCGAAAACCAAAACCGTGCTTGGGGCTTTGTGATTATATATCCAAGCTGTGCGTCGATCACGTTCTAAATTTTCATATCGCCTCAGGCCTGAGACTTGGATCTTGAATTCCATGACTTGTGGGGTTTGCAACTCAGTATTGAGCAGACTTTGCCTCTTTCATTGTTCCCTTCGATGATGCCCGATGAATAACTTCCTTGTTGGCAGTTTAAATCAAGATCGTTCTTCCGGCTGTTTGGATTCACCCTGTTGCCTCCGACCTTGCCCTTCCATAGTTGTGCGGTGGACCTCTGGGTTCTCCTTGCAGTCCGGCTGCCAGAGAACGTAGGGGAAGAGTCTGGTAATGCAGTGCGCAGTGAATCTCTTTCATTGCTCGATGGCGTGCGTGAGAAAAATGCAGCCGAACTGAGCCTCTGAAGAAGGGGGGAGGCCACATTGTACATGTCGTACGTAGATCTCGCCACTTCCAGGCATGCCGATAACCACAACGAAGCCTTGTCCGAAAGACTTCCAATGATTTGCTCAGCTTCATAAACCCAGTTCGCAAACTCCGCAGGTGGTCGTGCTGGATCCGAGGCTGCTCCGCGATGAAAATGCCATGAAGAATGTCCACAACGAGTATGACGCATGTGAAATAAATGCAGTTGGGCTGCCATCAGAATCTCCAACATGAGCTTGCCAATGAGGAAAAATGCATGAGAATGTCATGAGCGATGTGAAAACTGAGCATGTGATCTTTTGAAAGGACCATTCGTGAAGGACAAAATGCATGACAATGTCATGAATAACCAAAAAGAGCATGACAAGTGTGAAACAAATTCATTTGGGCTGCCATCAGCATGCCCAAAATGAGCATGCGGACCTTCATTTGCGAAGGGGGCAAAATGCCATGGGCGTGACAACTGTGAAACAATTGCAGTTGGGCTGCCATCAGGATCTCCAACATGAGCATGCCAATGATGAAAAAATCCATGAGAATGTCATCAGCAATGTGAAAAATGAGCATGTGAACTTTTGAAAGGACCATTTGTGAAAGAACAAAATGCATGACAATGCAATGAAGAATCAGCAGAATGGGCATGACAAGAGTGAAACAAATGCATTTGGGCTGCCATGAGCATGCCCAAAGTGAGCATGTGGACCTTCCAAAAGGACCATTTGTGAAGGGACTTAAAAAGCGTGAAACTGCCATGAAGAATGACTTAAATGAGCATGACAAGTGTGAAACAAATGCATTTGGGCTGCCATCATCATCCCCAAAAGGAGCATGCCAATGATGAAGCAATGCATGAGATTGTCATGAACAATGTGAAGAATGAGCATGTGAAGCTTCCAAAAGGACCATTTGTGAAGACAAACCTGCAAATCATGAGATAGTGCGCTGACATTGTCCCCTTTGTGGAAACCTCATCGCGTTACCGGGCCGTGCCCCGAAGAGCCATGAGGGTTGTCATCGAGTGTGACGTTGCCCGAACAACCAGTGCCGGTGCAACGGAAGACTCGAATGGCACGCCGCGTCCTTGTTTTGCTCTAAATCCACGCAGAATATTCAGTCAGAATTATCCACAATTGACAATTGGCAAGTTGATGTTGCCGATTGTTCATTCATTACACATTTAAACACCGACTTGGACAGAAACTTGGGACCCTCGCTGTCATCAAAAGTCACATCTTTCATTGTTTTCAAATAATTGCGTGCGTGCGTTTGCAAATCTCCGCTTTGATGCATGCTACACGTTTCTTGATATGCCGGCCAGTCCCCTACATGGAGTCCTTCACCCTGATTTTGGATTTTGAGGGGTTCCGAAAAAAGCAAGCCCTAGGATCCAGACCTTCAGGACCCAACCCTCAAAACAATCACGCCGAGCCTTCCAATTCGCTCACCACATTGCCGTTTTCGTCGCTGACTTTCTGATCCTGACACTTGTTTCTTCTATGTGAGCAAGGCCCAAAGCCTCACTCATGGGGGGTGCGAACGGACCTTGATGCCTCGTCTAAGTCGTTGGTGTCAGCAATGACAATGAGTTGTGAGCAAAGGGTTCACTGGTCCGTATACCAGTCTGTGTGACCCACAATATGTGCTCGCGAGGTGTTTACGTGCTTTCAAGTGCTCCGCCACAACCGCAACTTTTCGGCTCAAGAAACTGCCATTAGCTACCGCTAAAGCTTGCGACGTTGTTGCAGGTTTCTGATCCAAGTGTTCGAACCATACCCGCTGCACAGACCTACGGCTGAGCACCGCCTGTGAAAAGCGGTTTCTGTCCGAGTGCCTGCAAGGGATAAGCAGGGAGTGCAGCCGTCAAGTATTGCTTCAACACTGGCAGCCACATACTACATCAACTAGCTTTGTGAGGTGAGCGACCAAAGGAACATCAATACCAAATCCTCACGCATAAATCGACTCACTACCTCAACTCTTCGAAACAGAGTTGTGCATACACACACACAGGCACAAATGCGAACCTGCGCATGCCCATACCTGCACGCCCACGCATGCCCACGCCCGCTGCGGTGGACGCAGGATGGACATGGCGTTGCCTGCGGTGATGCTCACCCGGAACGACGACCAGCACGATGTTGATGTCGGCTCGCTTATTGAGGGTGCGCTCTCACGCGCCCCGGTGCTAACCCGCCTCAGGGACTTCCAATGGCGGGGCGTGCGTCGCGCTTTGGAACTTAAAGGCCGCTGCCTCCTCGCTGACGAGATGGGCTGCGGAAAAACCCCGCAGGAGGGAACTTCAATGTGTCAAATTCTGACGAGATGTAGTAGGACATATTGCAGGGGATGGTTTTCCGTGTTCTCGTGCTTGGAGGCCTTGGCGGTCCTGGCGGCGTACAACATTTGGCCCGCCTTGGTGGTTTGCCCCGCATGCTTGCGGCTGACATGGGCCGAAGAAATCGAGAAATGGCTGCCAGGTCTACTGCAGCCACGGCACATCCACATCATGTACAGCTCGAACGACATGCTGGGCCCGGAGTTCAAAAGCGAGCTGCGTGTGTGCATCGTGTCCTACACCATGGCACGCCTCCTTTTCCAAAATCTGAGAAGGCGGTCTTGGAGAGTAGCAGTGGTGGACGAGTCGCACAACCTGCGGAGCAGAGGATCTACCATTTCGGCGGCCACATCGGCAATTCTGGAGTTGCTGCGGCCGCTGGATCGACTGTTGCTGCTTTCTGGCACCCCCTCCCGGTCCAGCTTCTTGGACATCTTCACACAAGCCGACCTGCTGTGTCCTGGTTTGCTCGGAGACTTTGAAGTGTTTGCCAAAGATTACGACGAGCCAGGACTCTCGAAGATGGGATACCTGGACCGAGGGAAGCGTTGCCGTAGACCCTGGCAGCTGGGTTTGCTGATGGTGGAGAATTTGATGGTGCGGCGACGGAAAAAGGAGGTCTTGGAGGACTTGCCTCCCAAGCGCCGGCGCGTGATGCGTTTGGCTTTGTCAAAGCAGCACATTGGCTATCTGTCCGAGGCAGAGCTTGAAGCCAAAACTTTGCAGGAGCGTTGCGGGCTCTTGAAGTTGGTGGCCTCCCAGTCTTGGCTCCGTGAGAAGCTGGAGCAGTGCGTTGGAATGGGTCAAAAGGTTGTCCTTTTCGCCCATCATCTGCGGGTGCTCGACCGGATTTGCAGCCTCGCCCAAGGCATAGGCTGCAGCTTCTTCCGAATCGATTCCCGGCATTCGCATACATGTATAGAGCCGCTGTAGCTTCAACTTGCCTCTATGATCTTCACAAAAACTCTAAAATCAAACTCCCTGGCTCTGTGAGAAGCAAAGACAGAAGACCCGTCCAAGTTATAAGCGATTCTCAGGATGGCTCCACTCCCGCGGTAACGCGGCAGGCGCTCCTGGCTCGGTTCCAGACGGCGTCTACGTCTCCTCTTCTGGCGGTGATCGGGATCACGGCCTGCGCCGTGGGCGTCGACTTGTCGAAGGCCAGCTTCTGCGTCTTCCTGGAGCTGCCGCCCGATGCAGCTTGGCTATGCCAAGCTGAGGATCGGCTGCACCGCCGTGGCCAACGACAGGCCGGGCACGGGGCCGTCACGGGGCTATCCGGGCTCCGCTTCCGTGTCGAAACCTTCTGATCAGGCGGTGGACGTGCTGATGCTGTGCGCTGACCGCGAAGAACAGACTCCCAAGCGAGCCAAGCGCAATGAGTCCGCTCGGAAAGCCGGCAAGGATTGGGAAGGCGACGTGGCCCAGTGCTGCCAGGCAGGGCCCCCGAGAGAGAGAGAGAGAGGGACTCCAAAGCACGCTGACTCCAGACACGGACACAGGCGTAGCGCGGGAGCGCAGTGCGAGGGGTCCCAGTGTCCCCGAGTGCTGAAACGCCCAGCAAGCAAGCCAGCAAGCAAGGGACAGAGTGACGAGTTCATGGCAGTGCAGCCGAACTTACTGTGGTGTGCTACAGTAACGTGCATGTTTGTGTGCCAGCTTATGTCAGTGTTCGTGGGGCGCCACAGTGCCTGGACGATGTATAGCAAAAGCGACCTTGCAGTACAGATTTGGTCACCGCCGTTGTGAAGATGAGGCCTGGGGCCTGGGGGTGGTTCGTTAAGGGGCGTTGCAACAGAGTTGAAGAACAGCAGCAGCAGGCCTCATCTTGCGTAGCGCAGGGGAGGGCGACTTGCCTTCTCTTTGGCTGTGTGGAAGAAGAGGGACAGAGAGAGAGAGAGAGAGAGAGAAAGAGAGAGAGAGAGAGAGTGTGTTGTGTACGAGGGCCCCAGCTCTGCGAGGACAGCCAGGTTCAGGCAGGCAGGTGACAGGCAGTGCTGTGCGAGGTTCGGTTCGGTTCGGGATAAGGCCAGGGATTGAGGTCCGGGTTAAAGGTGTATCGGGGGAGAACCCCGTAAGTCCCTCGCCCACATGCGCAAGACGCAGTACAGAACTCAGCGGGGGAAAGCACCCGCAACTGTGGAGCAAGCAAGCAAGAGAGAGAGAGAGAGAGAGAGAGATAAAGAAAGACGGAAAGAAAGAAAGACAGACAGAAAGAAAGCAAGAACGAAAGAGAGGGGGAGTCGCTCCGCCTCTCCTTACTTCTGCGAATGAACGAAAGCGAGAAACCCCTACACCACAGCCATCCACAGCCCTGGCGAAAGAAAGAGAGAGAGAGAGAGAGAGAGCGGTGCTGTGTTGCAGGTTCGGTCGGGATGCAGCAGTTCTCGAGATTCGTTATGACGCCGATCTCATAATGCCGATCGTACTGGCAAAAGTGTTGCCCGCAATGTCTGCAGTCATAGTTGCACACTGGGTTCGCTTGCGAAGATGTGTGAAGCTAAATGAAGCAGCATCATGAAGGGCAAACGGCTGATTCTTGGGAGCCTGACTCGCCCCTTTTGACACAAGAAGAAGCCGTCCCTAAGCAGAAGCGCTGACTGGCTGAATTTGGTATTGGCCACAGAAGAAGAGACCTGCTGAATCAAAGCCTTTTCGGTATTTCGTCACCTAGCTAGGTAGGAGGCAAAAATCTCTGACGAAAGCCAGGAGAACAACCAGATGCACGGAAGCCAAAGGAGCTGAATTTGGGAGTTTTACAACTTGTGCCCTTGGCTTTGTTGCACTGGGCACAGGCTAGACTGAAAGCAAGAGTTTCAGAGTGCAAAACATCAAATTCAATTTTGGAATTTGAGGCTTCCACACAGCAGAATTCGTGCCATTTGCTTCTGTTCTGGGCAGGCTCGGCAGAAGCATGCAGCAAAGAAACGGTTTCAGAGATTCGACGTTTCGTGTCCGCCACAACGTCGTGTATTTTTCGGGGTGGCGGCTCGTCCGCCTCCAGGAAGCGTGTGCTCAATGGAACAGAGGATCTAGTGAATCTAGTGCTTCGCCTTGTGGGAAGCAGTTCCGAAGTCCGTGGGTCGTGGTGTTGGGTTGCAGCGCCTCCTGGTTGGGCACTCGTTGGGCCCTGGGCCTTGCCCAGCTGGGACTGGAAGATCTGAAGTCGGACTTTCGCCTTCTCCGTCTGTCTCGCCTATCGGGGATCGGGACTGCGAATCGGATCTCGGCTTACAGTGCTTACAGGTGTCCCAGCTGTCGGTTTTGCCAGGTGGATCGCCAGCGATGGCTCGGGCTCTCGGGGCGGCTCCGCGAAGTGGCTGCTCTCCATGACGGCCCCGCAGCGAAGCACGCATTTGCACGTATGTGGGCAATGATGGGTTATGATATGATTCTAAGTCTAATCGATGCTCCACGGGAAAATCAAGTTCGCGCAAGTTCTGATCTTCGCTTCCTTCTGTGACTTGTAGGCAGAAGCAGTGCTGAGGCAATGATGCTGGGCTCCGCTGCGCATTCATCCATGGCTGCGCTCGACGGCGATCCGGCAGACAGCGAAAGCGAAAGTCCGCAGTTCGCCTTCGAGATGTCGCCTCACACGCTGCGGCTGCACCCCTTCCGTCACGACACCGGCCGGCCCTTGGCGATGAGCTTGCGACCGGAAGAGGGCTCAGAGGATCAAGAGCTCTTCCGCGAGCTCTCACTTAGAGAGTCAGAGCGCTTGTTGCAGCAAGCGTGGGATTTTCAGAAAGCTTGGAAGTCTTTAACACCTCTCCAGCAGAAGATGGCACGGGGCAGGCCATATCGGGCAGAGGTGGGCCGGGGAAATCTAGGCCGCTAAGCCCGAAGCTGATGCGATCCCATCGCAAGGATTTGCAGGCCGAGCACTTCCAAGTCAGGCCGATCGCCGCGCTTTCCACCCGCCGCTTCTTGCATCCACACCCAGCGGGAGAAGAGGACCGATGCGCCAGGCCGCCAGGCAGAGAGAGGCGGTTAAGCATGGCATTGCATAGCACTGCATAGCACTGCAGGAGCAGTGTGAGGTCTTTGTGCACTACGAGACAGGCCGCCTCAGCGGACAGACGGTTCGCTTCCTGCAGCCGACCTCTTCCTCCCTCGGCCTCGGGACCCCTGTCCTTCTATGCATGGAGTGCCGTCTGCCGCTACCCATGTCCTTGGAGCTTGCAGAAAGCTGGAGCGGGGAAGGTACATCTTTACGTGTGCACAGAAAGAGCGAGAGCGGCGAAGGTGAGATGTTTTGTGGCGGACCGTGTCGAGCAAGGTATTTCGGAAAGAGGAGTGGCGCGAGCCTGCGCCGCCAGCTTTTCGAGTTGGAGCGCGGCGTTTGCCAGCGCTGTGGCCTGGACTGCCACGGCTTGTGGCAGAACCTGAAAAGCTCAAACAGCAGTTGGCTCGAGGAGCTTCAAAAGCAGAACAGGATGGCAGCGGAGAGCAAATCAGCACAGTCAGCGGCCATGCACACATTGCTCTCGTACTTGACGCGCTTTGACAGCGAGTCCCCAGACGATTTCAACCTGACAGAGGGATCTTTGTGGCAGGCCGATCACATTTTGCCTGTTTGGCAAGGAGGTGGCGCGTGTGGCCTCGAGAATCTGCAAACTCTTTGCGCCTCTTGCCACAACTTGAAGACCAGCGAAGAGACCAAGCAGCGAGCGGCCAAGGCGAGGGCGGCGAGGGCCCGAGCGGCAGGATCGCGATGGCCTGCCGGACGGCTCCGGTCTGGAAGTTCTTCGGGATTCTGGGCTGTGGCTTTGAAGGGAAAGCAGGACCTTAGCAAGGACTCACCAGAGCTGACCAAAAAATTGGCGACTTGTACGCGGCACAGGTGCACACGCTGCAGAGTGCAGGGACAGTACAGGTCTTTTCGTTCCGAAGTTCGTGTCGTCATCGTTTTGGATGATTCAGCAGCCGGGTGCCGACACAATGATTTCCCCAAGCAGGTTCGGTATTGGGGTCTCTTGCGGCGCGCAGTGAGAAACATTGGTTTGTGTTCGCGGGAGGCGGGAGGCAGCTCGCAGATGCGAATGCTGGGCGGTTCCGCGGCTCTCGCTTTTCTGTGTGGTGGACTTTCGAGCAAAATCACGTTCTTTTGAGTCCCGCATAGGTCCCGTTCTGAAGGGACCGAGATTGAATCTTCACCTTGACAAAGACAGTGCCCGGCACAGTCCCTTTTGGTCATTTTGGCGTCTATACAGCACACACTCGCAGACTCTGAAGCCCCAGGCTGTGTCTCGCGTGGTCTTCTCGCCGTTGTCCGAGCCGCTGTCCGAAATCGTACTCTAGTCGTGCTCCTGTCACAGCCCCGCGAGTGCTTTGGCTTCGTCTTTGGTTGCCTTGTCAGTGCCACTCCATAGCAGCAACAGATGATCCAATTCGTCATGGGAGCTAGCAGCAGGAAGCTCAAGAAGCTGAGTAACATCCAATGGTCCAAGCAAACTTTGTGCTGGCCATGCTCCATGCAGCTCCTGCAGCTCCATGCCCCCGCCTGGCCTGGGCAAGCTGATTGCGGCACTAGGGAAAGGCGGGGCGAGAGGGGCCTTTTTTCAGACTCTGCTTGAGCTGCAATTGCAGCTGCTCAGGCCATGAGCGAGAGCGCCGCGAACTCCAAGCCGACGCACTGGGAGCTCCGAAGTTGAAAGCCTTCTCTTCTATTTCACTGACATCTATGATGTTCTACCGAGGTGCCCCGCGGACCATGCAAGATGATGCTCAGCCAAGACATGGTTTTGACTTTCAAACCGTTAAGTTGTTTCCCGAGCTTAGGTGCAGAGTTTGTCCGGGATTCCAGGGTGGGCTCCTCTTCTGGCCCCATTCTCAGACATGACGTGCAAGACGTGCGCTTGACAGATGTCTGTAACAGGCCGCGGGAAGATGAGACTAGTGCTCTTGTACCAACAAGCTTGAGGGCACCGGCCCGGTGCCTTCGCTGCGGCTGCCGCGAGCCCGGCCGTTGGAGCGCGGAGCGCAGCTCTGCGGATCCTTTCGCTGAAAGGTCCGAGCCACCAGCATCAAAGCCTCGAGACCTGGCACAGGGCCCGGACAGCCGCGCCTAGCCGCGACAGCCCCTTGAAGTGGCGCTCTGCTCTGCTCTGAGAGCTTCGAACGAGGCTTCGCGAGGTGCAGCAGCGGGCAGCGCGAATCCGCGCGCTGGCCGCGGCCCCAATCCAGCCGATGGAGGGCCCCCAGCCGCAACCGCAGCGGTTTCAACGAGGTACGGAGCTGGAGGCCATGCCCGTGCTTACCTCGGACCGAGCACGGCCAGACTGAGAGCAGCTCTGCGCTGTCCCTTTGAGGTTGCATCCCCGACTCCCCTTCGCCGGGGCCCAACTACATACATACATACATACATACATTCATACATACATACATACATATGGAGCCAAAAGCAAATAAATACATAAATATGCGTGTGTGTGTATATATATATAGAGATGTATACGAGTTTCTCAGACTAGTTTCAGCGGTGCGCATCGTCTCGGGGGCTTCGCCTCTAATGGAGCGGTCTTTGCGCCTCGCATCGCTGCGTGACAGCCTTTACGGCCAAGCCCATGGCCCTCCTACACTCAGGTAGCCCCTAGCTGGACCATCAGCGAAGCTGCATTGTTCGTGCCACGCCCTGAGCGATGGTGGCAGGATCGGCGCCCGTGCCGGTCGGTTTTTTTTTGTCCATGTGCGGGTCGCTGCGAGGCTTACCGATGGCATCTTCGACCCTCAGGCGCTCTCCGAGCGAACGGAGAGTCCTGAAAAATGCAACGCATTTGGATGTCCAGGATCGTGTACCTCATCGACCGGCCCATGGAGAGGGCGAGTTGATCTCCGTGCTCGCTCCGACCAGCTTTGTACGTCATGGCTTCCACCCTCTACTCTACGAGCCGCTTTGAAGCAGCCGATGTCTTGGTTCGCACGTCACAACGCCTTGCGGTGAGGTGTTTCCGACACCAGGACTACGAACCCAAGCAGCTGGCCGGGCTGCAGTCTGCTTGCCTTAAGAGGCTTGGCCCCCAAGCCTTTCCCCAAGAAGGTGGTGGTGGACACTGGGCCTTTGCCCTCCGACTTCCTGCAGGCGGGGGCCCGGCGGGTGGGGAACGCCAGCACAAGCTCTCACAGACCCTTCAGCTGCCTGCTCAGGCGAGGGCCCGTCCGCTCCCAAGAGAGACGCGAGTGAGAGCTCGTACTTGGCCCTTGAAAGCGCCGACGCGCTCCCCGAGGCGAGGACGAGCGCGTGGTGTACCGGCACTACCAGGTCGCCGACTCGCGCATGGCGCCTTGGCGCCCAAGCGCGACTCTCCAGTCTTGCACGGCCCTTTCCGATTCCACCAAGACCCTTCTTTCTTGACCCTGAATTCTATAACTCGCATACTTCGCTCATCATCTTCGGCTTAGCAGCCAACACCCTGCCCCAGAACTTGCAGTTCAGGACATGCCAGAAGGATGGAAAGAAGGCGTGCTCTTCCCCGCTCATAGGCTTAATCGGCTTGAGTGTCGAAAGAAGGCAAACCTGTCACCTTCAGCATCGGCGACCAGAATGTTTGGACAGAGTCCGGCTCGGAGGCGCCGAGAAACTGAAGCCACGGAGCATTGAGTCTGAGAGCGGAGCACGCCAGATCGAGTCCAGTCCCCACCGCCCCAACCGACATGCCCAATTCGGGCATTATTTGGCATTCCGTCTCTTGCTTCAGACGATGCACAGCTGCTGCCAGCCCAATGCGCTTGTCGAGACAGGCATCTGCATCGTGGTCTTTGGGTCTCAAGCGGAATGTGGCTATCCAGCTCGCTCAAGGCATGTCAATTGTGGCACGCCATCACGCTACTCGCAAGTCGCTTGCACATCAATGATTTTGTCGCTCAGACTATGCAGGCGAGATCTTGGCCCATTTCGATGATGACGATCTTTATGCCAGCGGCTACCTCACGTGGATGAAGCAGCGCCTGGACAAGACCTTGGACAAGGACTGGCCGGACCTGCATAGACTGCGCACATGGCACACCTCCGACCCACATCGCAGAGGCACGAAGAGAGAACGAGACGAAGGAGAGGGAGGAGAAAGAGAAGCAGCCGCCCCTGCACAAAGAGTCCAGGACAGAGTGGGCTTGCAGACGTTGCAGACTGCAGACATAGTAACCCTGCATCGTGCTAGCGGCTATTCGCCAGCTATCCGATCGCAGGCTCATCCCCGTGGCCATAACCCTTCGAGAGTGGCCAGGAACTTAGCACAACAAAACGAGCAGGCTTAAGTCGGCTAAGCCTCTTGCAGAGCTTCTCGGAGGCATTTGCTGGATTTGTCTGTCTGCCACTTATCCATGCTTCAGTCGAATCACCACACGATATTCATATTCAGCTGCTTTTGACAGATGACTACAGTGTGACTACAGATGCCTACAGGATATGACCTTCGGGTTCATGGACGTGGAAAGGGACCCATTGGTTGCGCCTTCAGAAGCAGAGCGCGGTGCAGATGTGTTCGGGCCTCGGGGACCTCTCAGATCCCTCGAGAGCAAAGACATGGCTGGCTATACGGCTGGGGCCGGGGCCTTGGATGCGACAACACCTCCGACTCTGTGTGTAGTTGTCCAGCAGCGGAAGCGCGTCGCCAGTTTCCTGTCTCTGGCATACATCCAGAGGTTCCGTCTGTCTGGAAGCTCTATCCCTAAACCCTAAACCCTAAACCCTAAACCCTAAACCCTAAACCCTAAAGCCTCACAAAAGATGAACCCCAAGGATCCAACGGACCCAGTAATTAGGCACTTGGGTTTAGGATCACAGTCTTGTAGGTTAGTATCTGGGGTTTGGGGTTTAGGATAGCAGTTTTGTGGGTTTAGGGTTTAGTTTTGTTTTTTTTTTGGGGGTGGAGTGGGGTGTATGTGAACATTATGTACTTTGACCCTTAGGGTAAGCCCCAGGCTGAATCTAAGGTTTAGCTTCCCGAGTAGCACAGGGGTCCAAGTAGCTGTGTCGTAGATGCGTTGGCAGTCAAGGGCATGCCAATCGTGCAACCCCTAAACCCCTAAACCCCTACACCCTACACCCCTTAAGCCCTAAACCCTTAAGCCCTTAAACCCCTAACCCCTAAACCTCAAACCCTAAACCCTAAACCCCTAAACCCCAAACCCCCAAACCCCTAACCCCTAAACCCTAAACCGCCTCAACTTGAAGGGCTCCTTTCCTGGAGCTGCAAGCATAGTCGGCCACATCGTCACGGCCAGAGACCCGAAGCCTTAAAAGCCCAAATGTTGAGGGTGTAGGTGCTTTAGGATTTAGGGTTTAGGGTTTAGGGTTTAGGGTTTAGGGGTTTAGAAGTTTGAGGGTTGAGGGTTTAGGGGCTTTAAGGGCTTAGGATTTAAGAAACCCCTCACAGTGAATCTTGAACCCACTAAGAATCCTGTATGATCCTGTTACTCTGCCCGAAAACCACATGAACCCCACGCCAGGCAAGGCGCTGAAACTTGATATAACGGTTGGAATGGTCATACTACCTATAACCTATAGTCTCTATTGTAGCTCCTTTTTGGGGTTACCTTTCAGGATCCTTATTATTGATTCGGTTAAACCAACAAAAGGAACTACATTGGAGACGATAGCTAGTAGTCAAAACCCTATACAACTAACCCGCACTGATAGAAGATAATCATAATAAGGACCCGAAAAAGGTGGGTTGTACAGGGTTCAGGTAACCCTGAGGGTCCAGGTACCCAATTATCATATACTATCCCAAATCCTCCCTAAACCCTAAACCCTAAACCCTAAACCCTAAACCCTAAACCCTAAACCCTAAAACTATTATCCTACCCCACGGCACCCAATTAATGGGTCCTTTTGGATCCTTAGACCCCCCGTTTGAAACCCTACAAATTCCTATCGATCCCTTATTTTCCCTCATGGCACCCTTATAGAAAACCTCACTGATTGGGCCTTTTGGACCTCTAAATGAACCCGACACCCTAAACCCTAAACCCTAAACCCTAAACCCCCAAACCCCTAAACACTAAACCCTAAACCCTAAACCCTAAATTAACCCTCAACCCCCTGAAGGACGATCTCCAAGGAGCCGAAAGCGCCGCGAAGCGCGCACTGGCGTGGCGGAAGGCCTCCGGCAGAAAGGCTTAGGCGCTGTAGGGGTTATAGGGGCTATAGGGGTTATGGGGGTTATAGGGGCTGTAGGGGTTACAGGGGCTATAGGTATAGGGGTTTCCGAAAATAGGGGGTACCTTATTTAGGGGTCCTTATAATAAGGATCCTACTATTCAGGGTACTATATTAGGGTCCCCTATTTTCGGAAACCCCCAATATAGTAGATACTTAAGCCTTAAAGTACCTATATAGGGACCCCTTTAAGGCCTAAGTATCTACTAGTAAGGTACATGGAGCCTTTGGGTTTAGGGGCTGTAGGGGTTATACGGGTTATGGGGTCTATAGGGGTTAGTAACCCTAAAAACCCTAATCCCTAAACCCTAAACCCTAATTATAGGAGTTCTGGGTTAAAGGGTTTAGGGGTCAGGGTTTTGGGCAGGCCTAAGTATACTTCAGCTTTCGATAGTAAGCAACATGTATGCCCCCCCAACAAACTCCCTCGGCTCTGATTGAAGGCGCAGGAGATTTACCCAGTGTCTTTGTTCGATCTTAGCTGAGACCATAGATACTCTTACTCGGAGTTTTCGTACCGATAATCTTACTTGTAGCTGACTTACTGTATTCCTTTGAACTGCGCAGCACTACACTAGCGTACTGCGCAGGCCAAGTTTGGATTGAGTGGTTTGGGGGTCAGGACAATGCACGCCTCGTGGAGGCAGCGCGCAACCGCGAGGCACGAAGTTTGGAATTCAAAAACGACATGAATCTGGGGTGAAGTCGATATTTATGATTTCTTCTGAGTGTATACCGCTGCCGAGGCATATTCGGGAGTGCCATATTCTGTGACGACAGCCCTAGTTTTTAGGCTTAGGGTTTAGGCTTTCGGATTCCTGCAAGGATTCGACCAGAGTTCTATATGGGCCCAAGGTTCGGCGGTTTTGGGTCTAGCGAGTTTGGGCGGTGAGGTTTCCGGTCAGAGGTGTTCCTGATTTAGGGTTTAGGGTTTAGCCCCTAAGCTCTAAACCCTAAATCCTTACCCCGTGATACTCAAGCGGTGGCTTTGGACTAGTAAGATGCCTCAGTAAAGAAAGCCTGCAAGGGACCGTGGCATAAAGGCCAAACGTTTGCAGAAGTTAGGGTTTAGGGGTTTAGGGTTTAGGGTTTAGGGTTTATAGAGTTTAGGGGCCAGGGCTTAGGGTTTATTACCCAATGCACTGAATACTCAGCTGCAACAGGCCAACTTCACTAGCAATTGTAAGTGAAAGCTTCACCAAGACAGTCTCCGGCATCGTCACCATTAGCATCATCCGAACCAGTTGCAGAGACAGTATTTGCAACAGCATCCGTGACAGCAACAACGGCAAGAGGCAGGAAAGCCTGACGTTAAACCTTCTCGATGAACTCAGTTTAGGAACGATGGTATGGCACTGCCCTCCGGGTTCCGAATCGTGGACTTCGAGCGATATACAGTTTGATGTCGTATGCGCATGGGGATTAAGATATTGGAGCAAGCGGATTTTGTTGCAGGATCATTCCGCAAGGACGAACTTTTTGCCAGTCTCCATTCGTACAAGCTAACTCGTCTGAACCGGTTCGATGCAAGTCGCCTGTATGTTCCCGTGAAAGGCTGGTTTCCAGCAGTGCAGCATGATGAGACAGTTTAAATGAACGCTTGGTTGCTGACTCTGGTGATGAGTTTGCACACCAAAGGATCGATAGGTCTGAAGCATCGTTGCGAGATGATGTGGTGCTGTGGTGGTCGAGGCATGTAATCTCGTAGTTGAAGGGTTAGTGTGCGAGTTGGCAGCATGATGAGACATCTGAAATGAACGCTTGGTTGCTGACTCTGGTGATGAGTCTGCACACCTAAGGATCGATAGGTCTGAAGATGCATCCATGCAGCTATCCTTGCCTGGTTGATAGGAACATAATGGCTAATCAGTTGTTTTGCTCTGCCATTTGCCTGCTGGAGCTCGCTGTATCCAGCAGGTCAGATGCAGTGCCAGAGTGGTGTTGCAGCGTACTGGCTGGAGTTTGGAATTGTCGGAGCTCCAGTTATCCAAGATCTGCCTGCAGCTGTGTTTACCAGTGGTTTGCCGACGCCATGCTGATAGAGACATGATGGAGCTGGGCTCATGTGTTGTACGTACTTCGCTAGGAACCGTTCCGAGCGGCCGACATGTTCTACTCTTCACGTCCCAGCCATGATGAGAGTTGCGAGATGATGTGGTGCTGTGGTGGTTGGAGCATGTAATGTCGTAGTTGAAGGGTTATTGTGCTCGTTGGCAGCATGATGAGACATCTCAAATGAACGCTTGGTTGCTGACTCTGGTGATGAGTCTGCACACCAAAGGATCGATAGGTCTGAAGCATCGTTGCGAGATGATGTGGTGCTGTGGTGGTCGGGGCATGTAATGTCGTGGTTGAAGGGTTAGTGTGCGAGTTGGCAGCATGATGAGACATCTGAAATGAACGCTTGGTTGCTGACTCTGGTGATGAGTCTGCACACCTAAGGATCGATAGGTCTGAAGATGCATTCGTGCAGCTATCCTTGCCTGGTTGATAGGAACATAGTGGCTAATCAGTTGTTTTGCTCTGCCATTTGCCTGCTGGAGCTCGCTGTATCCAGCAGGTCAGATGCAGTGCCAGAGTGGTGTTGCAGCGTACTGGCTGGAGTTTGGAATTGTCGGAGCTCCAATTATCCAAGATCTGCGTGCAGCTGTGTTTACCAGTGGTTTGCCGATGCCATGCTGATAGAGACTGACGACATGATGGAGCAGGGCTGATGTGTTGTTCTTCGCTTGGAACCGTTCGAGCGGCCGACATGTCCTACTCTNNTGCACACCTAAGGATCGATAGGTCTGAAGCAGGTCGTTGTGCGATGATGTGGTGCTGTGGTGGTCGGGGCATGTAATGTCGTAGTTGAAGGGTAAGTGTGCGCGTTGGCAGCATGATGAGACATCTCAAATGAACGCTTGGTTGCTGACTCTGGTGATGAGTCTGCACACCTAAGGATCGATAGGTCTGAAGATGCGTCCGCGCTGCTATCCCTGCTTTGTTGATCGGAACATCTTGCCTAATTGGTCCTGTTTTGCTCTGCCATTTGCCTGCTGGAGCTCACTGTATCCAGCAGGTCAGATGCAGTGCCAGAGTGGTGTTGCAGCGTACTGGCTGGAGTTTGGAATTGTCGAGCTCCGGTTATCCAAGATCTGCGTGCAGCTGTGTTTGCCAGTGGTTTGCCGACGCCATGCTGATAGAGACATGATGGAGCTGGGCTCATGTGTTGTACGTACTTCGCTTGGAACCGTTCCGAGCGGCCGACATGTTCTACTCTTCACGTCCCTGCCATGATGAGACAGGAAATGAACGCTTGGTTGCTGACTCTGGTGATGAGTCTGCACACCTAAGGATCGATAGGTCTGAAGCAGCTTTTCGAGATGATGTGGTGCTGTGGTGATCGGGACATGTAATGTCGTAGTTGAAGGGTTAGTGTGCGCGTTGGCAACATGATGAGACATCACAAATGAACGCTTGGTTGCTGACTCT